AACGATTCCATGTTGTCTGTTGGCAATGGTTTTTCATGAGGGGCTTTTCCATGAGCTTTCTGAAGTTCACATGCATGGATTTAAAAAATAAATTGCACCTGCAAGTGGCCCCAAGTGATGACCTGATTGGCAACAACCAGGAGAGTCAAGATATAAGTTTGAATCAAAATGTCATCACCAACAGCCGTACATCAACTCCCAAGAGAATCAAGTTAAGAAAAAGACTCAATTTAAGCTCAAGTCATAGTCCAAAACTGATTAACAAAAAGGTGAATTGCTCAGGAATGAAACCAGAAGCATGCAATATATTTCAATATGTGAAAAAAATTGCACCAAAGTAAATATGTAAATGTCATTTTCCACAAACTTCAGCAAATACTCTTGTACTTTTAATTGTTTTAATCTTTGTTGGAACATAAGCTCTCTGAGAAGGCAGAACATTTTGTTTTGTTCAACAGGGTGTTAGAAGTGCCTAGCACATAGTGTGTGCTCATAACATCTGTCAGCTTTATTGAAACACAGAATTAGCCCCCAAGCCTCGCGTTAAATACAGTTAGTTAGATGGTTCTGTATTGAAAAACAGTGCAGTCCTAGGTGCAGAAAGAAATTTGTTCCAATTTTCTAATCTCGTGTAACAAGTCATCCCAGACGTTGTGGTTTAAATGGTACTTATTAATTTCCCAGTATTTGAGGGATGGCTGGGTGGTTCTTACTTGGAGTTCTTGTGTGTATAGTCTGGTGGTGGCTGGGCTGATGGTTCCTTCATCATGAGGCTGTTGAAAGCTGGCAGAAAGTAACCATTTCTCCTCCAGGTGGTGTCTCCACTTGGCTCACTTCTGCTTCCTCACAACATGGGCAGTAGGAGTGATTCTTACACCCATAGCTGGATCCCCATAGAGCCAGTGTTAGGAGAGGCCCAGGTGGCAGCTGTCTTGCTGCCTTAGAAGCCTTAAGATCATTTATGCATGTTCCAGGAAGGAAAGGATTCATCTACTCACAGGATGTTAACATCATGATGTTATTGACAAAGTGACCTTCTGAACAGAATGCCATGGAAAATATGGAGCAAATAGTGTTGAACGGTAATTAAGAGTGAAACGGTTGTGTGTCTGGTTAGGTTGCCTTGGGCAAGCCCTGACTTCACCATACACCAGTTCTCTTTGACACATCTTGGCCATTTCAGGTTCAGTTTCTCACCATAATAATGAATAAGCCCATTCAAATTGCATCGTTAGATTAGTCTGCCATTAGGCATGTTTTGGTGGAACATTTTGAGACTCATTGTAAAAGGAACATGGAAGCTAACATAATCAAACTAATTTGGAATATTGTTTTTCTTGTCACTTTGACCACTAAATAACTCTAAAAGTGGAATGAACCAGTGATTGGTTGGTCTTAAGTTTTAGGAATGTAGGGAGATGATCCTTCTTGTCTTTGGCCTTGGGTGCATGCATTACGGTGCAAAAATGCTGCAAAATCATCCCATCCCTGACTTTCTTGAAGTTTACTATTAGATAAATTTATTACAGATCAGTCCTTACTGATATTTAGATCTCTGTTCTTTAATGCTAGAAGTGTACTCCTCAGTGAGCCTGAAGAAAATTCTACTTCCTTTGCAATGAATTCTGCTACCACTCCAGATTCATCCTGTTAGCCATCTGATGCAACGTTGAATGAGTTTTCTGAATCAATGCTGGTTTCTTGGAAGCCGAACCATGTAAAGGCTTTCAAAGTTAGAACCTGTACCTGTTGTTCTTATGAAAGCCAGGCAGGGTCCGTTGATTGGCTTCTGGATATGTGAAAGTGAAGAATTTGGAGATTGCTTTTGGGACCATTTCCTAATCTTATGCTGAAGCATCAGTTCTGTTTGTCCTGAGGTTATTTCAGGTAGTTAATAGATCTGCCTTCTCTTCATTTCACTTGATCTTAGACAGCAAGGCATTCTGATTGTTGAGCGTTACTGTGTTTTTATCTTTTTTCTTGTTATCTCTACATTCTTCTGTAATGATGGAGTGTCAGAAGAGGCTCACCGAAATAAAATCAAAGGACTGTTTTCATTTTCTAGTACTACCTTGTAGATCGTCTGTTCACATAACCATCAGTATTCCACCTTCTTCTTGGCATATTATGAGGGAACCATGAAAGGTTTTAAAAAACTCATAAGAGCATTCAAGTGCAAGTCATTCTTAACAATGGCAAGGAGATATAGTGTTGTTGTTTTCCAGTTCTGAAGAAGGTAGACTTCCAAATGTTTAAGGTGTGCTGGGAATATTATAGGAGATGAAGATCGACTTTTCTGCACCTGGTCGTGAATGTTTTTCAGACCAAGGATGTGATTTCTGTTCCTCCGCCTCGTTCTTTTAAATGCTGTAGTCGTTTTCAGTCTTCTCAGTGAATGTTCTTACTCCCATCTCCCCATACGTTCCACCCAGTATCCGTGTTGACCCACATTTTTTTGCCTTTAAAGAGAGTTACCATCAAGGAGGATGAGCAGACCAGAGTCATTGTTGTGGCCAGATTCATGAGGAGTGGTAGGAATCTAAATGATAATTGTGTACACACAGGTCACCATGGGTGCCTTGTGAATAGTATTTCCAATGTGGAATGAAGAGCATTACAGTCTTTTGATAGAACACAACCAGAGTACTCAGATACAGTTGTCTCTAGAGATTCACATGTGGGAACTTACCACAAGAAGTGGTAGAAAAATGTGACTGCAAGGTCTTAGTGTAGGCTTTGAAAGTAACGTTCACAGTCATTTCAGTGTTGCTGATGGGAAAATTACTCATGAGGATACGCAGCATTTAGAATGAGTATTTTATAAAACCTAGTAACTCAAATTTCGAGACAATTTGTGATGCAGGAGTCATTCCAAGTATTATATTGTCGTTGTCCATTCATGGAGACGTGCATGGAATCAGGAGCCTGAAAAGAGTGATGGTCTCTTTAAGATCCTTCAGTGGGGCAACCAAACTTTGCTTTCATTATGGAAACAGTTGTAAAGGACAGTTTCTTACTTCCCAAATTTCGTGTCATGGGGCTTCTTATTCATGTCAGTCATGAACTCTGGGAAGTGACAACAATCCCAGTTGTGAGTAAAAGGCCCATGGAAGTGACACAGATTTGGGAAAGCCGAGAATTTGTTTGGAAGTTGAGATAAAGAATGGACTCTGGGTATATCAGATGTTTCATACTTTGTTTTTAAAAACAGAATAGTTAACGTGTTTGTAGGAATAGATAGCATGTGAGGATTCAAACTTGACAACACACGTTAGATGTTTTTGTAAAAGCTGCTTTGGTTTTCAGTCGTTTACTCTATTTCACTGCCTTTCCACTCTTGTAAATTAACTATTCAACTGCTACACAGTCTTTATAACTTTATGTTTTACATAATTATAGTCTGTGCTGCTTCATAGTAAGACTGTACTCCACCCAAATTAGAAGCAGTCGAAGAAATTAATTCAATAGCAGTCAAATTCACGTAAGTGAATGCTGGAGGCTCAAGGATGTGTAAGTACTGATTTGGCAACATCTAATGCTGGAGGCTCAAGGATGTGTAAGTACTGATTTTGTGCTGCTGGCACAAAACTTCTCTTTATTTGTATTATTAGAAGGATATAGTATAAGTCTTGTTAATGAAATCCTCAGAAAGGAGGTGATTAAATAGAACTAAGTACTTCCTCAACATACATACCACTTACTTGCTGATCGGTATCGGGAAATACTGAAACTGGCTTCTCATGAAACTTTTGGTCCCGGGGAACAAGGTCTTGTAGGTCCATCTATTAAAGATTTGTTTAGTTGAAAGGCAGAGTTGACAGGGAGATCTTCCATCTGCATTTCACTCCCCAAATGCCACAATGGAAGCGTTAGGCCAGGCCAAAGGCAGAAGCCTGGAACTGCATCCGGGTCTCCCAAAGTGGTGCATGGACCCAAACACTTAGGCCTCATCAACTGCTTTCACTGGCAGATTAGCAGGGAGATGGAATGAAGTGGAGCATTGGGACTCGAACCTGTGCTCACATGGGATGCTGGCATTGTGGGCTGCGGCTTAACTGACCGTGCCATAGTGCCAGGTCATCAGGCCCATTTCTAAAACATTGGAGATCTTTTGGGAAGATCACTTCGGTCAGACCTGCTCGGTAAAGCAATCCCAACAGAGTTCCTTTCCTCTGCTGCTTCACTGCTCGACTGCCTGCAACTGCTGGGGCTGGGCCAGGCCAAAGCTAGGAGCCGGGAACTCAGTCCAAGCCTCCCACGTTGGAGGAAGGGAACCAGATGATTGAGTCAACATCTACTGCCTCCGTGTGTGTGCATTAGCAGGAAATTGAATCGAAACTGGTGCTTGGTCATGTATGGAATTTGGATTTCAAACCAGGATTTGGTTCCCAACTGCATCACGTACTCTAATCTGTCATTAAAAATGTTGTAATCTGTGTATGCCTTCATTCTCCTTCTGTTTTCTCCGTTGCAGCCTTACACTTCTAGTCATCTACGAGACCCTCATCCACCCAGTTTCCACCATTGCACCACCATCCCTCCTACTCTATGTTAGCTTCAACCTACTTGAGGGCCTACATACTTGCCTCCCACTCTGTCCTCTCTGTATATCCTCCCATTCCTTCTGGCCCACCACGTTGGACTCACTTTCCTCGTAACCTCGAACCCTTGGGGAGAGCCTCAGGTGGCCACTGGGCTCACAGCCCAAGAATGTCCAGAAGATTCTACTTGTTCTTCCTTCCTCATTGTACCCCCCACCCCATCCCAGCTTAGGTGGCAACTAAGGCAGGGATGCCTGTGCCTACCCATCTGCCAAGACTCCCTGTAGCACCTGCTCCTCAGCTGTCTACCTGGCCAGCCTGCACCCTTCCTTGGAGCTCTAGAGCCCCTCAGACCAGGATGGTTTCAGGCCCTTGGGGTGGGAGCTCATCCACCTACCCCTCTGGATGGGCAGTGGTTGTAGGTTTTGAGGCCACAGTGCATTTGGTATTATGTACTAGGAGCATAAGGACTACTAGCTGCATGGAGCTGAGGTCAACAGTGGGCTCCCAGCCATGTCCACCTTCTCAGTGCCCCATAGCCGTGTATGGTGGCATCTCCAGCAATACACCGCCCCTCCCATCAGTGAGCAGACAGCCTCATGGGCTCCTGAGGGACCACGGCCACCAGCAGGTATGGTCTCTTATGTTTATTTATCTCTCTCTCTCTGTGTGTGTGTGTGTGTGTGTGTTTTTAAAAATAAGCATTAGTTGATGTTAAAACAGAGAAGGGAATGGTTGTTTTTCTGTCTTAAAAACTGTTCAAAAGAGAAAGAAGAAAACAGGCATGTACCAGTTCAAACAAGAACAGATCCCATAGATGGATCAATCCCTGTATTCCTGCAACTCCTGGAACATGACCAGGCTGAATCTGAGAACCAAGGCTTTGAAGCACAGTTCAGGTCTCCCAAGTGGGCAGATGTGAGATAACTACTGGAGTCAGCATCAGCTGTCTCACTGGAACCATGTTTGTAGGAAGCTGGAATCCCAGGATGAAACCCAGAATTAAACCCAGGCACTGTCTTATTGGACCTACATAGGCCTCTTCCTAGCCTCTTAACTGTTTGGCTAACCGCTGCAAGGATGGTTCCCTCTTCTTTGTCCCCTTAGTGCATGCCTGTAAGGAATGAGTTCCTTACATTTTCATCCTGTAGTTACTAACTCAGTAATGTGCCAAGTACTTTACTGCTGTATTCTATCATTCTAATAATTGTCAAGATTTCTTCCATAAAAAAGGTTAAAAAGTGGAAGAAAGGAATCAGTTAAGGTTTTAAAATTTAATAAAAGAAGAAAAGTGTGACTCCACTGAACATTTGGCCAAATATATGATTCCAAGGTGAATGTGGATGCCTTTCTTGTCCTAATGAAACTGAAACAGTTGGGGCTGTCCTTTTGTTTGTACAACTTAGATTTGAGAGGCTGATGCCTGTGTCCTCAAAGTATGACATTTCAGTTGTCAAATGTAGCTACGCAAAGATTTCAGAAAATGATAACCTCGGGGAGTAGTAAATATGTGTGTCCCTGACAGCGGTTTCGTTTAGTTGTGTTTTGATGAGTGGAAACCATACATGAAAATTGATTGCAGGAAATAACTTATGATATCCTTGCTTTTAGTAACATACATATAAAGTAATGGAGATTTGATTTATGGTAACGATTCTACAATCATATATGTGGGCCTGACCTCTTTGATTTAAGCAGCTACTGCATAGAGATGCAAGCACCTTCATTGAAGCATTGAAGTTAAAAGTCATGTTAGTATTCTTGTCTGCCACTTCTTAAATATATTCCTTTCTCTGTTGTGCCTGTGTAGTTATTGCACAGAGTGGGAGAAAATGATTTAGAAAGTGTTTCTTTTAGTTTCTGAAAGACAGTGTGTATAATTGTTGTCATTTCTTTGAATATTTGGCATAATTCACCTCTAAAACCATCAGGGAGTAGAGAGCTATCTTTCAGAAGATTTTGCCAAACTAAAAATTCTATTGCTTTGATATTTATAAGAATCATTAATTCATTTCATCTTGTTTAAGCTTATAGTTTATAGCTTTCAGGGAAATGTATTATTTCAGATAAAGTGTTAAGTACATAAAGCTCAGCAGAATTTTAGCTCACTGTCTTTCTTAAAAATATTTATTTATTTATTAGCAAGTCAGAGTTACAGAGAGATCTTCCATCTGCGTTTACTCACCAGATGGCCACAACGGCCAGGGCTGGACCAGGCTTGAGCCAGGAGCTTCCTCTGGGTCTCCCACGTGGGTGCAGAGGTGCAAGCACTTGGGCCATCTTCCACTGCTTTCCCAGGCCATAGCAGAGAGCTGGATCAGAAGAGGAGCAGCTGGGACCCAAACCATCACCTATATGGGATGCCAGTGTTGCAGGCAGCTTTACCTGCTACACCACAGCACTGGCCCCACTTACTATCCTTCTAATGTATATGTGGTGTGTGGCACCTCCATAATTTGTCTTCTCTTTTTCTTTATCATTGCAATAAAGATATATCAGTTTTGCTGACGCAGTTTTTGTGTTCACTAGTTTTTGTTTTGTTTTCAATTTTAATCTGTTTCACTCTTTGATATTAGTTGCTCCCTTATGCTTGGCTTAGTTTATTTTGCTGTTCTTTGTTATTTTTTTAAACTAAAAATTATTGTTGAATAGATATCTTTCTTCTCTTCTAATAAATGCCTTTATTGCTATGAATTTTACTCCAAATACTGCTTAAGTTGCATCTGTATAACTCTGATACATCTGCATTTTAAATTTTTTAAAGTTATATCCTTTTCTAATTTATCTTGAGACTTCCTCTTTGACTTAGGGATTTAGAAGTGTATCGTGGGGCCAGCACTGTGGCCTAGCATGTAAGGCTGCCACCTGCAATGCCAGCATCCTATATGGGCACCGCTTTGAGTCCCGATTGCTCCTTTTCGTATCCAGCTTTCTGGCCTGGGAAAACAGTAAAGATGGGCTATGTCCTTGGGCCCCTGCACCGCATGGGAGACCTGGCTCCTGGCTTCAGATTGGCTCAGCTCTGGCTGTTGCTGCCAATAGGGGAGTGAACCAGCAGATGGAAGACCTCTCTCTCTCTCTCTCTCTCTCTGCCTCTCCTTCTCTCTCTATGTAGCTCTGCCTTTCAAATAAAATAAATAAATCTTTAAAAAAAAAGGAAGTGTGTTGTTTTACTCCAAGATTGGAAGTTTTCCAGCTATCTTTGTAGTATTAATTTATAAATTAAATAAATTTACATCTAATAACATTCTTTATAGCATTTAGTTTCTTTAAAAAAATTTGAAAGTCTGTTTTATGATGAAGAAATGGGCTACATTGGTGAATTTCCTTACGGACTTAAAAAATGGGTCTTCTGTTATTTTTGGGTGCAGTATTCTAAAAACATCATATACCCATTTGATTGAAAGTTTGATGCAATTCTTCAATATCCTTAACTGATTGTCTTCTAGTCCTATCTGTTACTAACTGATGCGTCAACAATTACAAATAAAATTGTAAATATTTCTATTTCTCTTTCGATTTTCGTCAACTTTGCATAGTGAAGTTATGTTGCTATGTAATATGCATGTAGAATCATTTTATTGTTTTTTTTTTAATTGCACCTTTGGGCAACATGCCATGACCCTTCTAACTCCTTCTAATTTTCTCTGCTCCAAATTGTACTTTCTCTAGTATTAATACAGTCGTTCAAATTTTTTGGATTAATGTTGCACAGGATGTATTTATTTACCCTTTACTACTTTATCTATTTCGATGTATTTGAAGTAAGTTTGTCATAGACAGCATCAGGAGGGGTCATTTAAAAAAATCCTTTCTGAAAATTTCTCTCCTTCACTTGCTGTGTTTAGGCCAGCTGCATTCAACATACTCATTGATAGTTTTGGATTTAGCCCAATTTCATCATCTGTTTTTTGACATTGAACTCCTTTATTTCAGTTTCTCCTTTCTTGCTGTCAGGTGACTTGCATGGTTTTTCATTCCATTTTAATTTATCAGTTGTGATGTATACATTATCTGTTTCTATAGATTGTTAGTGACTGCCCTCAGAAGTATAACACACACTTTCTTTTTCATAGGCTCGTAACAGTTTTGCCGTATCAGGGAGAAATTTTACCATCAGGTAGGTCCTTTCTTTTCTCTTCTATGTCATAGTTTTCTTACATATTCCACATATCCCAACAATCCACATTAAAAATTCATCAGGTGAATGTTATAATTTTTGGTTCAATCATTGAATCAATTTTGTTTTAAAAGATTTATTTATTTTACTTGAAAGTCACAGTTACACAGAGGGAGAAGGAGAGATAGAGAGAGAGAGAGAGAGAGAGAGAGAGAGGTCTTCCATCCTTCCATCCCCTGGTTCACTCCCCGAGGACTGCAATGGCCAGAGCTGCCCCAATCTGAAGCCAAGAGCCAGGAGCTTCTTCCAGGTCCCCCATGGGTGCCGGGGCCCAAGGACTTGAGCCATCTTCTACAGCTTTCCCAGGTCATAGTAGAAAGCTGGTCGGAAGTGGAACAACCGGGTCTCAAACCAGTGCCCATATGGGATGCCGGCACTGTAGGAGGCAGCTTTATCTGCTATGCCACAGCACCGGCCCTCATTGAATCCATTTTAAAAACCTATTGGGGCCGGCACTGTGGTGCAGTGGGTTAAGTCTCAGAGAACGTGGCGGTGAGACGGTGTCACTAGTCAGGGTTAGGGCCTGGAATTCCTCTCCTGCAGTGGAAGGCTGTGTCTTTAACTGTCAGTGTGATGACATCCGCCTTCCCAGAATGCACCTGTCACATCCAGGTCCAGGATGCGTGCTCGCACCCAACACATTCGTGGAGCTACTCGGAGGGCGCACCAGCCGGAAGGAGCTGCACCTCCAGCGCGGATGAAGGCTGCCGTTTTCTCTCTTTCTCCGCGGAGCGCTGCACACCGGGAGCCAGGGACCGCTTGTGCGTGCTTTCCCGTGCAGAGCCGTCCACCTTGGTGCTTTCCTGCTCTCTATCTCCGACGTGTGCGGACACCCCAACCGTAGGTACCATTTTCGTTTTTTTCTCTTTCTCTTGTCCACGGGCAGTTCTTTGGCCCGCTCTTGTTGAGCATTTCTCTGTGCGGGGCAGCCCATCCTGGGCCTGAATGTGTGTGTGTGTTTCCTGGGTGCTACATAACCTCCTTCCTATTTGCACGTGGGGCCGGTCTGCATTTTGTGTTTCTGTCTTGGAAGGAGACAAGAGCCTGCACCAAATTTAATATAATCTGGGTTCTGGTTCGAGTCTCGGCTGCTCCACTTCCTATCCAGCTCCTGCTAGTGCCCCTGGGAAAGCAGCGGAGGATGGCCCCAGTACCTGGGCCACTACACCCACATAGGAGACAGGGGTAGAGACAGGCTCCTGGCTTCGCCCTTGCCCTGGCCTGGACATTCTGGCCATCTGGGGAGTGAACCAGCAGGTGGAAGACCTTTCTCTCAGTCTCTCCCTCTCTAACCATGACTTTCAAATAAGTAAATAAATAAATCTTCAAAATCATTAATATGTTCATGGCCCACATAGTAGAACTCTGGGAAGTAAGCTCATGAAGAGTGAGGAGACTTTTCCCATCCTCTCCAGAGCCCCTGATGGAGGTTGGGATTCTCTGCCCCTGCTGCTTTGTCTAAAATTTTGGTCCGGAGTGATTACCCTGTGAGCTCTTTTCTCCGACCAGGCTAGGAAAAGTTTTTGTTTTTGTTTTGAGTTTGTGCAGTGTTTTTCACTTGTTATGCATATGAACTGATGATCTACAAGCTCCTTAGTGTGCTGGACTAGATGCCAGCGAGGTTATTTTATGTTCATGCCTGGTAACATCTTATTGAAAGTTGGACATTGTATTAAAAACTTATGAAGGCTCAGAATGATAATCATTGCCCAGAGATAATTCACTCTATCATAGACCAGGCAAATAGCATGAGGGTCATAACTCAATCTTTTGGGGTGGCCCTGGCTCGAGTCTGCATTTCCTTCCTTAGAAGAGTCTGGCTTCGTCTCCACCCCTAGGCTGTGGACCTCCAGGGATCCCAAGTGAAAATCAGCGACGTTTACCAACGCCTCCTGATGGCTGATTCTCAGAACCGTAAGTTGGCCTCTTACTAAAATGACCAAAACCTGCACTCCTCTTTCCCATTCTTTCTTCCCTCTACTTCTTAGTCTGTTAACCTAATGTTGTAGTAGGAAAACTGGCATCTGGTCTGCTTGTGTTTTACTGTGACCTGCTGTTCTCCGGGATTTTGGTCCCTCAAGGTCTAGATGCTGGAAACTGGCAGTTAGCCTAGTGGCTCAATGCCCACATCCCATGTCACGGTATCTAGTTTTGATTGCTGGCTCTGGCTCCTGGCTTCAGCTTCCTTTCAAGGCAGACCCAGGGAGGCAGTGATAATGGCTCAAATAATTGTTTTTTTTTTTTTTTCTACTCACAAGGGAGACTTGGATGGAGATACTGGTTCCCAGCTTCATCCTTGGCTGCTGTGGACATTTGGTGAATAAACCAATGGATGGGAGTTCTCCCAGCTCCCTGAAATAAGTAAACATCACCATTGAAAAGATCTGGATGTTTCATTGGCCCAAACTCCACCTTTTGTTCCCCTGGTTCTGATATGTGGAAAGCTCTGCCTGGGTAATGATCTTCCCTTGGCTTCTGGTCCATTCTCTGGCTGGCTTCTCAGCTCCTTGCTTCAGACCAAAGTGGCTACTGCCAGTGGGAAGCACCTCACACCATTCTCCATGGGACTGTGGCCCTCAACTCCTGGATCTTTCAGTAGCTCCCAAATAACCTGCAACCAGATGCTTTTGTTTCATGCAGTTTTTCTGGTTGTTGTTCTTGGAAATGTTGGTCTTAGTAGAAAGGGAAGACCTGGGACAACTTATGAGAAGTAAAGTTGCAGACAGGTGCTCCTAGCAACTGTGAGATAAACAGAAGTGGTATAAAGAGCCCAGAGGGCAGTGTTGGCCATCCAAGTAATGAGATGACCCTGGCTATAATTGAGGCTCCAGTCTGTCCCACAGCTCCATGACTGAGTCACATCCTGAATGTCATTTGAGTGCAGTAACACAGAGTAGGTGCCCCAGGGACTGGGTTTATCAGTCAGCATGGGTCTCTGGAGATTCCTATAGGCCATGTGCGTACACATAGTTCCTGTAGGTCACCGTGTGTACCCATAGTTCCTATAGGTCACTGTGTATTCATAGTTCCTGTAGGTCAGTGGTGTGTAACTATAGTTCCTATAGGTCACTGTGCATACCCATAGTTCCTGTAGGTCACTGTGCATACCCATAGTTCCTGTAGGTCACTGTGCATACCCATAGTTCCTATAGGTCACTGTGCATACCCATAGTTCCTGTAGGTCACTGTGCATATCCATATTTCTATAGTCACCGTGTGTACCCATAGTTCCTGTAGGTCCTGTGTGTACCCATAGTTCCTATAGGTCCCTGTGTGTATCCATAGTTCCTATAGGTCACTGTGTATCCATAGTTTCTATATGTCACTGTGCATACCCATAGTTACTATAGGTCACTGTGTGTACCCATAGTTCCATCCTTTGTATTAACATCCGTGGGATGGATGGTCTGGTATTGCCCACTAAGGTCCATCAGGGTTGA